CGGGGGCGGCTGCCGAGCATCCCCTCTGGCACCCCAAGACTGGGGCTAACCCGGCCTGGGGACAGCAACCCTCTGGGTCCACCGGCTGGGCACAGACAGGAAGGGCAGCAATAATAAAGAACATATATATATATATATATGTATATATATATATATATGCAGTCCTGTGGTACTTCAGCAGCTTACTCCTACGTTCTGAATACACCTGTGGCTACTACCTCTGGTCAGTCTGGAAGCAAGGCTTGGGGAGTTACCCTTTTGCACACCGAGGCTGAAGGAGGGTCTTTGGGGTTGAACCTCGGCATCCTACAAGTGCCCAAGAGGTTCATCTCAAGGTCAAATGTGAAGGGGCAGACGGCACTGGGTTCATGCACATAGGTCTTCAGCCTTCACACAGTAAATGACCCAAACAAGTGCCCAAGAGGTTCATCTCAAGGTCAAATGTGAAGGGGCAGACGGCACTGGGTTCATGCACATAGGTCTTCAGCCTTCACACAGTAAATGACCCAAATGCTTGTACATTTGGTCTCAAATTGCAGTTTAGCCTGGAAAATAAGTTTTGAACAGTGCCTGCCATGTCTGTTATTCAACTTTGTTGTCTCTGCTAGAGTCAGCCTAGGCTTTTTTCAGACAAGTAATTCTCGAGTTGGCAATTGGGCTCCTGACTGGAGAAAGACTGTCCGTCTTAGTCTGAACCCTGAGCCTGACCATCGTGGCCGATGGCACGCTGGGCAGTGACTCTCATCCAGAGGCACCATGCAAATCAGATTTGCTGGACTGCTTGAAATGAGGCGATGCCTTGAATGGAAGAGGTGTAGCTCTGCTTCACGCCAAAGATTTCAAAGCAAGTGGTACAATTGTTTTCCCCAGTAGTTGGTGGTCACCTCAGCGTCCATGACTGACTCCTAAAGGGCTCAAGAGGGGCCCACTGTGGGAGGAAAGCCAGCTTATTGCCAGTTGTGGTAAATTTACTCTAAAGGCGGAATGAGAAAAATGGGGTGCTCTATATAAATCAGATTACATGATCTATGAGCTGTGCGTCATCAACACAATTGAGAGAGATCCATCGGGATGTTCTAGTGAAGCAAACAGTTCTTCCTCTGCTTCCCTTACCTAATGTAACTGCCTGTGCTACCTGCCATAGTGTGGGCGCTAGCCTTTTGGGAGGCCGGTTACGCCACAGGCCCTTTCTCCTCGAAACGTGGAGAAATAACACCCTGAAATTAACCCTCAAACTTTGTTTATCTTGACCGTTGCACAAAACTCGTGCTGTCCCTGTGCCTATTTACTGGCAGTCTGCAGGGCTTGAATGAGCCGCTTGAGGAGCGGCTGAGGGAACTGGGGTTGTTCTGAGGGTCTCCCTCCTGGAGAAGAGGAGGCTGAGGGGAGACCTTATTGCCCTCCACAACTGCCTGAAAGGAGGGTGTGGTGAGGTGAGGGTCGGTCTCTCCTCCCAGGTAACGGGCAATAGGACGTGGGGAAATGGCCTCAAGTTGCGCCAGGGAAGGTTTAGGTTGGACATTAGGCAAAGTTTTTTCACGGAAGGAGTTGTCAAGCATTGGAATGGGCCGTCCAGGGATGTAGTCAAGTCCCCATCCCTGGAGGTGTTTAAAAGACGGGTAGACAAGGTGCTTAGGGCCGTGGTTTAGTGGTGGGATGGCAGTGTTAGGTTAATGGTTGGACTTGATGATCTTAAAGGTCTTTTCCAACCTAAACGATTCTATGATAATGGTGCTGGGAGAGGGCAGCGTCTGGCAGAGCTGGTGGTCAGGAGCCGAAGGACAGGAATGGCTTAACATGGGGGCAGTGGTATGACCCAGGTCATGGGACCGCCGTGCCATTAGCTGTAAGGGGGGTGACAGCACACAGCCAGCCCGGGCTATTGTAGCATTCAATTAGTGCTTACACAGTGCCTTGAATAACTCACATGAAAAGCTGACTTGTTATTATTATCGTTATTATTAAGCTAACAGTATATTCTCCATGGAGCTCATGAAGAGGAGGTGACGCACAAACAGCACGTACAGAAGCAACTGCATATGAACAGCACCCCAGGAGTTACAAAGAAAAAAATTACCTTAATAATGGTTCCTCTGCTGTGGTGGGATTTTCTTCCCTTTAATTATAGTTGCTGTTTTCATTTGAAATTGATTAAGTGTTTTAGGGCGGCAAACAGAACTGGTCTTTTCAGAAAGAACACTCGAGACTGCCGGCCCCAGCTCAGAGCATAACATTTTTATTTCTCTTTAAAGGACTCATCATTTTTTCCTTCTCAGCTGGGAAGAAGTGGGTTGGATTTTGTGCTCTCCCTAGCATCTCACGATTTTCCCATCCTAAGGAAAGGCAGACGCCTGTGCCATGGGACTGCCTGCAGGGCATAAGACCTCATCACAGGGCTACGATGAGGAGGAGAATCCGCCACCCTGATTTTAATTACCTGCATTGGATGGAAGAAGCGAGAAGAACCGGCAAGTGTTACCATCTGTGGAAGGTACTGACACAGACCCGCAATCTCTAGTCCAGAGGGTGGGGTACATTCAGCTTCTGCAGTGGAGGAGGGAGCACATAATTTTAAGAGTTGTGACACCACGGTGTGATTTATGGAGAGTTAAGTTAAAGATCTCCCGCGTCGATCGCTCTCAGCTACCTTTCAGTGTTTCTCTTCCATTTTCATGCATATGGGTCACAACAGTTTCCAGCAGTGCTGCTAGGAAGTAGCCAGTGTACAGTTTTGGTAGTTGCATAATTGCATCATTTTTCTCCCACTTCTACTATGAATTGATACTGTTGAGGCATTAGGAACCTCTTACACAATCCCATTTTATCATCATAGAGGTGCTTCTGTTGGGAAGGTTGATGCTTTTGCAATTTCTGCTTTAACACTTTTGCTGCCCTCTGGT